TCAGAGTTGTTTTGAGTTGCATTTCTCTGATGGCCAAGGATTTTGAGCACTTTCTTAAGTGTCTTTCAGCCATTTCAGATTCCTCTGTTGAAAAATCTCTGTTTAGTTCTGCACCCCACTTTTTAATTTCATTGTATGGTGTTTTGGAGGCTAGCTTCTTGAGCTCCTTGTATATTTTGGAAATCAGTCCTCTGTCAGATGTGGGATCGGTGAAGATCTTTTCCCATTCTGTGGGTGGTCGTTTTGTCTTACTGACAGTGTCCTTTGCCTTACAGAAGCTTCTCAGTTTCAGGAGGTCCCATTTATTGATTGCAGACCTCAGTGTCTGTGCTTCTGGTGTGATGTTCAGGAATCGTTCTCCTGTGCCAATTTGTTCAAGGGTTATTCCCACTTTTCTTCTAGAAGATTCAGTGTGGCTGGGTTTTTGTTGAGATCTTTGATCCATTTGCACTTAAGTTTCGTGCATGGTGACAGGTATGGATCAATCTGCAATTTTCTGCATGTCCGAATCCAATTGTGCGAGCACCATTTGTTGAAGATGCTATCTTTTTTCCATTGTATGGATTTAGCACCTTTGTCAAAAATAAGGTATTCGTAGGTGCGTGGGTTAATATCTGGGTCTTCAATTCAATTCCATTGGTCTATCTGTCTATTCTTGTTCCAGCCACATTTTGACTGCTCTTTTACATAATGAGCAGAGTGTAGTCACCAATACTGGAGTATTTTTTAGTCAGGAGTATTCTGGAAACATTCCCTGCGTCCAGCATGTATCACTCATTTTAACTTTCATCTAAATAAAATTATCCTCTCTTATTTATGGGTATTCTATTAACAGTCTTTCTTGAATCACATTTTATCCATCTACATCTAGTGCATAAATGACTACAAAACATGTAAAAATTTGGTAACTAAGTAACTAAAAGCAATTAATCATGTGTTAATAATCAGAACTCAACTGAACTCTCTACCTTTTCACTGTCATATGTCTCTCTTTTCTCTAAGATTCCCAAGCTTGTGGTGACTCTTTCTCACTAACTCATGTAGAGTACTTATTGTCTCCGGCTGTTTCTACTACCTTTCTTGTCTTCACACTCACCAATTTATTTGCATTTGAAATAATAATGTAAGTAGGAAAACTGAATGTTACAAAGGACCTCCAAAATAGAAATGTCTATATTTCTAGAAATTCATAGCTGATCAATAAAGAAACCCCATAGCTGATCAATGAAGAAATCTCATTACTGGTCAATGAAGATACATCACAGCTGACTTGTCTTTAACAGACATAAACAAGGGTGTCAAGATTGCAGTAATGTGGACAATAACTTTCTGGGCTTATTTATGTTCACAAAAGAAAGCTAAATATAAGTTTCTATTAATATTTTCCTCTCTGAGAACGTTATGAATATATCCTGGGATTTAGAAAATATGCATTATTTATATGGTTTTATGATGCACACTATGATTTTGAATAATTCACTGATGTTTTAAAACTTTTTATCTAAGTTTATTCATTTATGTTGAGTTTGTAAATTTGTGGATGAATCTTTAAAAATAATTAAATTCTCTGAAACTCACAGAATCTAGTGTCTATCCAAGGGATATATTAAAATTTTGTTTGGTTACAAGTGTCTCATAAAATATTAAATCTTCTAAAGATTAAGTGCCCTTGAAAGCATTACTTGTGTAAACTAAAATCCAACATTTCTTATTACTGTTTAAACATCCATTTGTTTCTGCACAAACTTTGAACTGAAGTTGTTTCATAGTTAATGTTACATAAACATATGAATTTACCAACAGTTCTATGCAAAGAGGTAACATTGGCAGGAGAACAAAGAAGACATGATATCCAAGGGGGTGTCCAGTCATTGGTATGTACATATTTAAATTGATGCTAGTCACTTGATAGCGTTTTGTTTTGTTTAACAAGAGAACATAGGCCAACAAAATTGCATGTTGGGCAATCCTATAAAATTTCTGGTCACAATTTTGTATTTAATTTTAAATAATTTTCTACCTCATATTTCTTTGAATTCTCTGAATGTCTCCATGTATTCAAAACTGAACATTATCTTCATCTTGTTTCCAAATATCTTCTGATAACTACAGGGTAGAAAGTCACTAATATACTACCTAATCAAAATGCAGTCTCATGAGTAAGAACTAAAGTCAGCCTCTTTGTACATATCTTCTTCCTTCAAAGCATTGTCTGTTCTTGAAATGACTCTAATTAGTTGACACTCTTATCATTTGTTCTAGTCAAAGTTAGTTTCAATTTGTGAATTGTAGAATCTTCCTCATTTTGAGATAGGGCCATTAGTTTCTTATTGTAACATACTTTCCTATTGATAACTTACATTTGTTTTGTTGAATAGGATCGGTTTACTCACCATTCTCATTAAGTAGATGACATTTGCTGATTAGATGCGTGAAAGCACCATCAGACGATTCTCAACACAAAGGGCTCTTTGGGTTTTGTCCACATGCGTCAAATATTTGTTAAATACATAGAACAGACTTTGTACAATGGCTCAGCAAAGTCTGTGTTGTGAACAGAGAGACCACATTGAAATGTCCATTCCATATTATCCATGTTAAAATCAGATTGGGGTACTACTGATTTTTATTTAGTTTAGATGTTTTATATGATCTTACACATTTTACTGATCATTTTTGTTATAGTACTAAGATAATGAAGTTATTTTACCATAAATACATAAAGTGAGGTGCCCCTTTTTTATATGGCCATTATAATAGTGTATCACCCTGAATCTACAGAAATAATTAGTGGAATTCTTCCTCAACTACATCATTTTATAGATGCTTAATTACAGATAAGAATTTCATATATGGAATGGTGGTTATTATTTGGAAAAACAACAAATGAACTTTGGCATTCATTTTTATAA